TTTGCATTATTTTCACAACTACTTCAATATTTTTTTTCTCCCTTCCTATTTATGCTACAATGCTGAAACTTGGACCAGATGAAACACTTTTCATATAGAACTTGTCAAAAAAGTTTGATTGAACTCGAATGAGTTTTCATTTTTGCATTTTTGGACCCAGATGCCAACCAGACGCCCCCTTAAGGATAGCCTTCCTCCCATATATATATATATATATATATATATTCACTCGTTTAGCAATTTCTCCCTTGCTTTTCACACACCACTCTCACTTTATCAGATATCAAAACATTTGAAGTTCGCACACAGCAAAGCGACGAGGAAAAAAATGGCTGACGTGACGGGTAAATCAATAGATAATTTCGACCCGGGAGCGAGCACTGTTGCCGGGTGGACTCTCTCTCTCTCTCTCCAGAATGTTCAACCCATCACCGTTACTGTGTAATGTGATGTAGTCAACCACAGGCTACCGTGCCTTAGACTACCACAGGCTACCGTGTCCTAGACTACCCACAGGCTACCGTGCAGTATAGTCATCCACAGGCAACCGTGCAGTATAGCCAACCACAGGCTACCGTGCAGTATAACCATTCATAGGCTACTGTGCAGTATAGCCATCCACAGGCTACCGTGCAGTATAGCCATCCACAGGCATCTACCTCATAATTCACTGCTTGTAACGAGAATAATCTGTTTTCCTTGCTATTCCAATAATGTACCAATTTCTGTTAATGTTGTCTTGCCAGTCACTATAGGATAGCAAGTGACCACCTTCTGAGCGACTTTATTAAGATGAACTGGTGTCAACTTTCACATTCAAGACTTTTTGTACAATGCCAAGAGTATATAACATTTTTATTCACATACAACGCCAGGAGTATAACATTTTTATTCACATACAACGCCAGGAGTATAACATTTTATTCACATGCTCTTTGATTATTCAATAACCTATTCTGCTATTTGGTGATGTAATAGCACTATTAGAAACTAATGCATGGTCGCTCGGCTCGAGACTAGGGAGGCTAGTTCAAATCCACGACTTAGCAAGCAGGTCTCGAGATTGTACGTGCTTCTTATGTTGCTTACCAAAGCCTCAGTAGAGATAACCCAGTCGACTTGAACAGACTTGCAGCCCCGCCTGTAAGAAGCTTGCGTCAGAGGGCGAAAAGCGAGCTTGGAGCAGGTTAGAGGCAGCGATGATTCACTTGGTGACATGCTACAACCAGCAGGAACAAGTTTGGTGGTGCTAGGCTAGGCAGCCTCACCTCTCCCTCCCTCTGTCCCTCCGCTCCCTTCCCCCCCCCCCCCCCACACGCTCCTTAAACTACCTAGCCCCCTCCCCGCCATCGTCACCAACCCTCCATGCTACTATCCTATTCCTCAAGCCAGACCCCTGTGGCTGGATTTCACGTCTTGGTTTTCAAAGGTTTTGAAATTAACGGATTCGTCCTGATTTAAGTTTAACAAACACAACAATATAGTTTGGATATATATGCTGAAATGTTATCACCTCATTTTCAGATTTGAGGATATAACCTTAAGTCTTTACACCTTGAAACAGATTAGGCCTAACATGATTATTCATGATTTAAAAACATTCAGCTTTAATCAAACATGTTGTAATTCAATACATCATCAGCAGAAATAAACTATTACAAGTTACTTAACTTAGTAGCTAATATCTTAGGTGTTCTTGGTTTTCAGATTTAAATACACTAAACATGTTCTTTATTTTTCTAGGAAAGAGCTTTTGATTTTTCCGAATCAAATCAAGAATTGGTTTTAATTTGAAACACTAGCATTGATAGGCCGTATGGGTAATAGTACATTACACATTTTCAAGCCTGCTGGCCTGCACATTTTTTCACACCAAATAATCAGGGGCCAGATTCACGAAGCAGTTACTCAAGCACTTACGAACCTGCTCATCTTTTCTCAATCTTTGGCAGCTTTGTTTACAATTATTAAACAGTTAATGAGCTCCGAAGCACCAGGAGACTGTTTATAACAATAACAACAGTGGATTGGAAAGCTTTCATGCTTGTAAACTGTTTAATAAATGTAAACAAAGCCGGCAAACATTGAGGAAAGATGTACACGTTCGTAAGTACTTGCGTAACTGCTTCGTGAATCTGGCCCCAGGAAAGTCGTTCTTTGTATACAAATTATCGCAAATTACGACCGGCCATAACAACCAAAAGATATCACCAGAGATAGCTATATCTCCCCAACAGTCAAGAGGCCAGAGTGAGGCCTTAGGCCTACCCTGTACACTAAATCAGACCGACTCTGTCGCCTTGGCCTTCGATTCTAGTTACCTTGAATCAGCTAGACAAGTATATTGTGCACGTTCACCTTCGGGAAAGAAACTAAGACTCTTGCTGACCAGACCACACACTAGAAAATGAAGGGACGACGACGTTTCGGTCCGTCTTGGACCATTCTCAAGTCGATTGTCTTGTGGCTCTCAATCGACTTAAGAATGGTCCAGGACGGACCGAAACGTCGTCGTCCCTCCATTTTCTAGTGTGTGGATTGGTCAACATACTTCAGCCACGTTATTGTGACTCATCGCCTGCAAACCAAGACTTTTCCCTCGTGTCTAAGACAAGACTTTGACAAGTTCCTGCACGACCGTCATTATTTACATCATCATCAAGAGCTGATAAGACTCGCACATTGCCTGTTGGAGAGCTAGTCGTATACTATAATTACCTCCCCCAGGAACTGAACACATGGCTAAACTGGTTTCCAAATGTGAGATATTCAAGAAAAACACCAGATTGTGATTCACCACTGATAAATCCTAACTTACTAAATACGAACTTTACGTCAAAAAACTCGCAGCACACATGAGCTCTACTAACCCACTAAGACTTTGATTTGTTCACCAATAAACAGCTTGATAGGCTCGTTAATAGAATATAACACTAAGAACAAAAATCACAGGCCTAAATAAACCATTCATATAACAAAATTTACTTATTACAAAAATACAGCTAAATATTCCTCAAATAACCATTCACGAGTTTCAGATAGACTGTCGAATTAGGCCATATTTACATCACGTAAATACAGCCTGTATTGCGCAACTAGTAAAGGAAACCAGACACAGATATATCACCTTAACTAGACAGGAATCAGCTCTTTAAATCAAATGAGCTAAAACCCAATAACCACTGCTAGATCGTGCACAGGGCGAGCCCTCCTGAATTAGTGTTAAGCGCGAGACTGAAACATTGTTCTTTTACGCAAATAAAACTCTCTAACCTAGAATACAAAACTAATGACAAACTAACCCAAATATTCCACCAGTCACTATAATTACGGTTGATCTTAATATCTCTTCTCCTCTACTACCAAACCTTCCCAGCTACACCCTGAGTCACATTAAAGAGCGAGAGATGGTACTAGGAGCCATATTAAAGAGCCAAAGATGTGCTAGAGCCACATTAAAGAGCGAGATGGTACTAGAAGCCATATTAAAGAGCCAAAGATGTGCTAGAGCCACATTAAAGAGCGAGAGATGGTGCTAGGAGCCACATTAAAGAGCAAGAGATGGTACTAGGAGCCATATTAAAGAGCCAAAGATGTGCTAGAGCCACATTAAAGAACAAGAGATGGTGCTAGGATCTACATTAAAGAGCAAAAGATGTGCTAGAGAAACATTAAGGAGCAAGAGATGGTGCTAAGAGACACAGTAAAGAGCAAGAGGCGATGTTGCTACTGCCACAAAAAGAGCAAGGAGTGTTGTACCAAGAACCACAGTAAAGAGCCAGAGGTAATGGTGTAGCGCCACAGTAAGGAGCCAGAGGTGAAGGTACAAGAGCCACAGTAGAGCGAGAAGTGATGGTGCTAGAGCCACAATAAAGAGCCAGAGGTGATGGTGCAAGACCCCACAGTAAAGAGCCAGAGGTGATGGTGCTAGAGCCACAGTAAAGAGCCAGAGGTGATGGTGCTAGACCCCACAGTAAAGAGCCAGAGGTGATGGTGCAAGACCCCACAGTAAAGAGCCAGAGGTGATGGTGCAAGACCCCACAGTAAAGAGCCAGAGGTGATGGTGCTAGACCCCACAGTAAAGAGCCAGAGGTGATAGTGATCAAGGGGCACCCGATCAGCTGGGAATCTTCACAATAGATAATAATAACACAGTAGGCCGGGAGCACACCAACCAACTGGCCAACGCTATCTAACACGATATTCACGATAAACTAATAATTCTGGCAGGCAGTGATGGCTTTACCGACTCGCGCGACTGATTGACGCTCCTCTCTCACTCTTTCTTAACTTTGCGAACTTGGCTACAGGAAGCCGTCGAGCACTCACGAGGTGGAGAAAGGTTACACGTCCTTAAATACTAATGAGAAACCTTGTGAGTCAACGCTCCGTACGATCAGATTCTATGCCACATGTGTAAAGGTAAATAAAAACATGATATATATATATATATATATATATATATATATATATATATATATATATATAATATATATATATATAATGTGTGTGTGTGTGTGTATTTTGCATTATTCACTGTTGTGGTGTTTCAGGATTTTTCATTGGCAATTTGTTTTCTTCAGGTGGAGAGTCAGGCACATATACACATACATGCATTTTTGTCTAAGTCCCGTGATGGCAGAGCTCTTGTGGAATGAGAACTAACCAAACGTGATCATTCCATTAAAACACTTCACTTGTTAACAGTCCATGATACATGCACTTATAAATCTTCTAGAACACAACACTGTCATTACGAACCAAAACTTAAATAACAAAAATAACTTAAAACCACTTTGCCAAAAATTTTTAGTTTTTTAACTCGCGCGCAGTTTGAGTGCAAGTTTCTATGTCACTCTGTAGCACTTATTAACTTAAACGTCAATTGGTCACTAAAACGTATCATATCCGTAGACGAGTTCATGCACATAATACAGACAACCAAGTAATACAAAATCATCGACACAGGAGCAGAATTACAGCCACTGAAGTCAACTCACCTGAGTAGCATCGCTGTATGGAGTTCTGGAGTTTGCTTGGACTAGTTGAGATCCAAATATTACTCCCTGAGTTGTGGTGGGCGATGTGGAACGATCTGTTACGCTTTGTGGCAACATTTTGATCACTAAATTGGTTAAAAGTCTATTAAAGCACTAGGTACAGTTCTCAAGTCCTGAAACCTGAGATAGCAGCGACGTACTCTTCCCGCACTCATGTATCGGTCTACCTATCCCGCCAGCCGCTCCCGGCCTTATATAGCCTCGCCTTCCCTCCTCAACCAATCAGCTGCCGACAGTACGATGGGCGGAGTTTATAATTTTTCTACACGTTATAAAACATTTATTTTTATTTTTACGATACGTAATTGGAAGTTTATATTAATGAACGTGATCTCTCGAGGAAAAAACTTCGAGAAGACGGTGTCTACGCTTTAAATAATTCGCTGCAAGATGCGTATGTAGCAACAACTGGCACCGTTCACGTGTGAAGATTGCATGATTTTATTATATCGGCCAAACACAACATACAAACAAGCCGACTTTGCCTGTTGCAGAGCCGAGTTTTGAGGCCCACAGGCTCACGTGTGGGGCTGTGGGCTGACTGTCATGGCTATGACATGGGCCCTCACACCCACCATGGGCTCATGTGTCAAGGCCACCACTGATGTCAAAGATTAGGATATGCTCGATAAAACTCAGGCTCGTGTTTACATTCTGTCTTTACTACTGAAAGTATTAATATTAGGTAGTGTGGGCCTCGCAGGTACACTCTCCCCCGAGGACGCCGTCATAACTTCGACATATGCAGGAGTAAAGTTTGCTAACTTACAAATTAAACGGGATAGTGTGAATGTAGTTGCCGTATCTCGCCACGGAATGTAATTACACACCACGTTATTCCTCGTTAGTTTCGTTAACATGTTAAAATGAAGATGAAGTTTGGGAACTCAGATCATAAGTAAGTCGACGTTTCCGACGACACGTGTCGCACACTTCAAGTGATTCAATATACAAAATATAAATACTGCAACTTGACACTTGCTTGGGTAAACGTCCGACCAATGTCACAAGATTGACGCCTGCTGCTGCTCCGGAAAAAAATAAAAGATTTTTATTTTACTCAAATAGTTATAAATAAAAATATTCATCCATATATTCCTCTAATAAAAAATCAATAATGACTCAACGGCGTATAACGCGAAGAGTAAGCGCGCGAGGGTGTTATCCAAGCTCCAGCCTTGTTGATATCCTGAATTAGAATGTGTAATCTACGGAAATAACATCACACCTTATCGCGCCGCGACTTCCACGATCTTATTTAATTAAAGACGCCCCCCAAATTTTTTTTTTAGGGGAGGGGGGGTTGAGGGGTCAGTATTAGCGAGGCTGGGACTGTCTTAACAAGCTGATAACAACCCACAAGTAGATCACCACTAAAATCAATACCTCCCGACCTCGCTATCTCGAACCGCGTGTCGGCCGGGATGGGGAGGGGTGAGAGAGGGATGGGGACAGGGGGTGGGGGGGGATATTGCGGGATGTGGTTTCTGGGACTTGTTGGTGGGGGGAGGGATAGTGGGGTCGGTGGGGGGGAGGGAAATGGTGGATGGGTGTGATAGATACGTTCCTTTTATTTATTTATATATATATACCATTCGCAGTTAAAATTATTTATTTTATTAGTGTTTATATATGAGGTGTGTGTGTGTGTGTTTGGTGCTTCTTATAAGGTGTTTGATCATCTTGTACATGGGTGTTCGGTGTATAGGGATTCCGCTGTATTACGCGGTCGTTTTATGTGTGATAGTTAGTACATCTTCTCATCTGCTGTTCCCGATAATTGGTGAGGGGGGGTGGGGCTGGTATATCCGGTGTACCCTGTAGCCGGAGTTTATATCTTGAGGTTTATCGTATGTTTAATGTAGGTGGTGTTTACTGTATCAGATGGTCGCTTTGTGTGACGTTTAAAGTATGCGGTCTATGCGCGTAGCGTTCACTATATCGGATGGTCACTATGCGTTCTATTCACTGTATCAGGCAGATTGTGTATATATATTATGTATGCACGCGCGCGCGCGTGTGTGTTGTATTTGTAAATATGGCGTTTGATATATGAAGAAGCTAGGATGTGTGGCTTTCACTGTATCAGGCGGTCAATATGTGCAGTGTTTACTGGGTCCGGGGTTCGAGCCCCAGGGGGGGGGGGGTTACTGTACCAGCTGGTCCATACTTGCGTCTTACACTGTACTAAGCGGACGTGATGTGTTCACTGTATGAGGTGGTCGGTATGGGCATCATTCACTGTATCAGGTGGTTGCTATATGTAGCATTTACTCCTTTAAGACGGCCGTTGAGCTTAGCGTTCACTGCATTAATGGGACGAGTGAGCGGTGTTCGCTATATATGGTGATGGGCGTAGGCGGCGTTCATGGTATTAAGTGGCCGTTGAAAGAAGCCTTCACTGTAGAGGTAGGTCTGTGAGTGTGGCTTCCACTGTACCAGACGGTCAGTGAGTGTGGTGTTCACTGTACCAGGCGGTCAGTGAGTGTGGCTTCCACTGTACCAGGCGGTCAGTGAGTGTGGCCTTCACTGTACCAGGCGGTCAGTGAGTGTGGTGTTCACTGCACCAGGCGGTCAGTGAGTGTAGTGCTCACTGTACCAGGCGGTCAGTGAGTGTAGTGTTCACTGTACCAGGCGGTCAGTGAGTGTAGTGCTCACTGTACCAGGCGGTCAGTGAGTGTGGTGTTCACTGTACCAGGCGGTCAGTGAGTGTAGTGCTCACTGTACCAGGCGGTCAGTGAGTGTGGTGTTCACTATACTAGGCGGTCGTTATTGATGACTTTCACTGCATGATCGATGTTTTATGACATCACACTAAGGATAATGTTAACTGCATCCAACAGTGATTGTATGCAGTGTTCACTGTATCCATCGCTCTGTGAGGGAGACGTCACCTGCAGTAGTCTCTGGGTGCATGGTATATACGATGGTTACTATATGAAGTATCATTAATCAAATGTTGATGGATTTAGACTGACATATCAGGCGTGCACTCTATCAGAGCGACAAGACATTACTGCTGTTTAAGTCGTCCCAACTTCTATTATACATATTAACAATCATCATTTATTATATTCTAAGATAACTTAAAATTATCCACGAATATTTTACTATAAAAGACAACATTTGAAACAATAATTTTATCATTTGTATTAACATGCTTTTGTGGCTATTTTAATTGATATTAGTATTAATATTATTATTAATATTATTATTATTATTGAGAAAATCACAGGAGCAGTATGAAGATTCGAAGCTATGTGCTGAGTATTCGCAGACCAGATAACTCACAGTACTGTGATTTATCTGTGTTTACTAGTTGTGTTTTTGCGGGGTTTTTGCTTCGCTCTTTCGGCCCGCCTCTCAACTGTCAATCAACTGTTTACTAACTACTATTTTTTTTTTTCCACACCACACACTATTATGTATTATTATTATTATTATTATTATTATTATTATTATATTAATATTGTCTATGTTTAAATTAGGGGTTGTGCACAACCTCTAACTATAACATATACCATAAAACAACGAATGCTAACAACCTCTTCATTAAAAACAGCCCAAAGCCAACCAAGAAACACTTTGCAGCAGTCGAATATGTGATATATATGTAAAACTTCCCCTTAAAGCATGTAACCTGTAACCTAACATACAGATATGACGTCGACCAAGCTGACTAGGCATTTAACCTGTCATCTTCATTCAGATGTCCCTACCTTACCTTGAGGTGTTTCCGGGGCATACCGTCTCCGCGGCCCGGTCGTCGACCAGGCCTATAACATGTTGACCAATAACATGTTGACCAATCCACACACTAGAAAATGAAGGGACGACGACTTTTCCGTCCGTCCTGGACCATTCTCAAGTCGATTGAGAATGGTCCAGGACGGACTGTTTGTCCCTACATCACATGAGAGGAGCCCATCACACCATCTTAACACGAGACATGCTGAATAAAAGCAATTGTATATTAGATAAAGCCTAAAATGTAGGGAGATTGCGCATTCTTGAAGCCCCTACACATAAAAGTAGAACAACCCAGCGTGCTGTCCGGACAGCACGCTGGACTGTGATCCTGTGGTCCCGGGTTCGATTCCCGCACGAGGCAGAAACAAATGGGCAAAGTTTCTCTCACCTTATGCCCCTGTTACCTAGCAGTAAATAGGTACCTGGGTGTTAGTCAGCTGTCACGGGCTGCTTCCTGGGGGTGGAGGCCTGGTCGGGGACCGGGCCGCGGGGACACTAAAGCCCCGAAATCATCTCAAGATAACCCATATATACATATAATTTATGTGTGTGTATGTGGGTTTCCATTATTTATGAATCGTAAGGATTAGTAGAGTAGATTAGCCTAGAGGATTGGATGGGGAGGAGAAGAATTGGGAGATGAGAAGGATAGGGAGAAAGAAAGGATATAACACCACGAGGACTACCCACTGAAAATCCCTAACCCATTCCCAACCTCACCCACCTTGTTAGTGGATCACTCGTGGAGGAATGGGGGGGGCAGGGGGTGAAGGTGGGTGTCCCCCCCCCCACCCCGCCGCCGGCACACATGCAGCTCTCTGTATATGGAGAGGGGGGGGGGGAGGCAGTGTTGTTGTGGAGCTGGGTACAGTTTGGATGAGTACGCGGGGAGGTGGTGGGTGTACATGAGTCATTGTGTGTGTGTGTGTGTGTGTGTGCGTGTGCGCGCGCACGCGCGGGTGTTTACGTGCGTCAGTGAACCTGTGTTAGTTTAATATTAAATTTCTAACGTAGGCTCCCAACCGAACTTCCCTGGAAACACAAACCGAAACTGTCTCCATTTTCCGCTTGTTATAACTTGTAATAAAGTTGTTACATCTTGGGTTAACGTGTTTATGACGTATTAGAACGTTGTTACAACTTGCTATATTGGTTATTATAACTGGTTAGGAGGTGTTAAAACTTGTTCGAACGTTGTACCAACGTCGTAGTTTCGGTGTGTGTTTGGCGGGTTAGCACTTCAAATCCCCACCACCACCAAAGATGCCCAATTTCCGCACAGTTTAATATTATCTGGAAAACAGCTTTTCTCCTCCTCATTA